TTGCGAAAACAAGGTCAGACAACTTTTGCACAATCAAAGGAAACTGCGACCATACACGTTTAAGTTGATAAGGGTACTGATAGTTGAATTTCCTCACAATGATGAGTAGATCTTACGTTTCCATTACATTTTACGCAGCCTTGTTTCCTAAAGGTATTATCATCCAGGCTCGGGTGGACTGCAATTGCGACCTCCTCTCAACAGGTCTCCTCGGCAACCCCAAGCGTGAAGACGAACTGTGATATGACAGCTTCATCGAAAATCCCACCAGTTAATGCGATATGGCGAAATGACTGGCCTTCCTTCAAATTCCCATCCGGCCCGCGACCCAACAGCATTCGTGGCAATCTGGCCAAGTGAGTCACGCGTCGAGATTACATGCTGTACCATCATGGCTGGTGCCCGGCTGAGGGTATTGATGAGACTTGCTGAGGCGAGGTTGAAACTTCAATCCATTCCAGCCTGGATGAGAATACTTTCTGGGTAGGCAAGGCTGCGAGAAATGCAACGGAGACGTAGGGTCAATTGATTTGATTATGGAAATCAAGTTAAACGAACTAAGCTGATAGTCCCGTTAAACATACTCATACCGAAGACACACACTCGATGTTCAATCACTATGACTCCTTTCGCCGCAGGTTACCCAACAAAAGGGAAGCCAACTAAGCGCCCACCGACCAGACGACCCGCAGAAAGCCGGATTTTACGTCTAATCTCCAACCGTCTGGTAGTCGACGCTGATTTCGAGTCAGCCTCGGGCAGACAACCTATGCCCTTGCAGTGAGGCTGGTATCTGTTGCCAGCCGGCTGGCTAGTCGCCGCCGCGACGGCGTTTCGAGGTGGTGCCACCCTCGGGCTCCTACCAAGCCCGCTCCACCCGGCCAGTTCCAAATAGTCCAGAGGAAGGGTTCCAGCCTGGTCGGTGGGTCAGTTCAGACAGGACAGGAAACACATGACACACCACCATCCTCCAGTGTCGGCTGCGGAACTGCATAATTTATAGATAAAACAATCGCCTGGACGTCTCCAAAGCACACATACCGTCAACCTAGCAACACTCGCATCATGTCGGCCTCCAATCGCGGCTGTCACCACAAGCCCAGCCATTCACCTCGTCTACTTGTCGCGTCTCCGGCTGTCGCACTTCGCCCCACCGTCCCAGCCGAATTTGTCAGGCCGACCCGACGACGGTGAGCAAATACGAAGCCTTCTCGTTGGACAGCTCTGATTGGCCGATTCCGCCGGTCTCCTTGAGCAGCGCTGATTGGTCCATTCCGCCGGTCTCCTCTCCGCCCTTCTTCACACGTGTAACCGGTACTGACAGCAAATCCAACCGGCCTTCTTTCCCCGCTCGCACCGACCTTCTACCTGGACGCCTGCGAATAGATGGGCACACACACACGCACGCGTAACTGACGCGTCGGAGATGTGCACACTCGGCGCCCCCGGCTCATTCCACTAGGCGACGAGGCACGAGGTCCGCGGGACCGCGGGACGAGCGACGAGAGGAGACGAGAGCCAATTGGTGGCTCAACCGACAGGTCCTCACCAAAAGGGCTTTGCGACTTATTTGACCTGGTTTCAGGACAACATGAGGCTGACGGCGACTACGCGGCAGAATGGCTAGTAGACTTCCTCAACTATCAGTGCACTCCATCTATTGATCGATCGACGCATCGATCCGTCTCACGTCAGGCCGGCTCGGTCTCGGCCGTCCAGCCCCGCCCGCTCGACTGGGCCGCCTTGAGGCTGTGGCTGAGCCGACCCTGGGAATACGTCAGAGCGTGAAAACGCACTCGGCGGCCTCTTGTGGCCTGGGCTCAAATCGATCGATGCTCACTTCTCAGCTCACGGCCTCAGCTCTTGTGTCTGAAACTGGTGGCTGCTTTTGTCTCACTCTTGTTCAGCCTCGCCCATTTTCACTTCCCGTTTTGCCTCCAAGTCCCCGCCTTTCAGGCGCCGCCACACCACCATAGAAAATGGCGGCTAGCCCTTGAAAGTGCGCCTCTAGGCTTTGGCGTGTTTCTCCTTAAATGAGCGAGACTACCAGTAAATCAGTAATATGAGATGTATTTCACCCTATTTCATTTAAGGTGATGCAGTTGAATTTTCCCACAATGATATGAATAGAGCTGACGTTTCCATTGAATGTCACACGGCTTTCATTTCCTAAGAGTTGTTCTCATCCAGGCTGGACTGCAGTTTCGGCCTCGCATAGGTCTACCCAACGCCCCCAGCGGGAGTCGAACCATGACAATGTGACGTATAAGCTCGACATGTTAGCCATTACGCCACATTGCCACAAGTGCCCCTGGGTCACAGGCCAGGTGTGAATTTCCAGGAATGTCAGGCATTTTTCGTATCACATTCTGTGTTGGGACTGTTGATAAAGCAAACTTATATTGGCTATAGTGATCGGCGACATGACTTTTTTCCTAAATGAGTAGGTGTCTTTCCCTTTGTGTGAGAGTTCTTAACCAAGGTGATTGGTATGTCCAATCTCACCAGAAAACGACGACCGAGTCTCGTTTTTCGGCTTTCCTACGACGCTTACCGAACCCCCTTCCGAGACTAATATTATCGTAATTAGTGTTTGTTTCCATTTACACTATCCTCTTCCCTCAACCCCCTTCATTTTACCCATTACGCCTTTCTATGTCTATCTTTGTAAGACTGACCGACACGGTCCGTGAGGAGCGTCTTTAGCGCCGAGATATAGCTCCCCAAAGTGACGAATAAAGAGAATGATGAACCCCAGAAGAGGGGGTTGACACAGTTTCCCTTAAACGAACACCCCTTCGGTCCAAACTCCGCCGTAGGTAGGATCTGGAGCATATTCTGGATGAGAACCACTTCTTGTGATATGTGGAGGAGAGATCCTGAGCACAACATCAAGCCCGTTCATCTCATCGTGTCCAGAATAGCTGGTTCTAACTGCTTTGAGCTAGTACTGCTGGCCTCATGTCCTTTCGTACGTTTTTGCAGTTGAAAAGTCGCTCCGAACTCGTTTTGACAACTTGATCTGGTGTCAGGACGACCTCGTAGGACTTGCTCAATCCTGCCTCTACTGAAGTAGTGGACTTTATCATCCTCCATATCCGGCCGATTTAATACTTCCACAGCCTTGTCAGTGAGGAGGATCTTCTTCGA